TTTTCACGATTTAATCAGTCAAACCAATCAAACCAAGACCTGGAGGTTAAAACAGGTAGACCTCCGGGTCAGTTTTCAGAACACTAGCAGAAGGCACTAATATTCACAGGCACTTATCTGATTTCAACATGATGGTGACACAAGTAGTGACTGCTAGAAATATTCTAGAAGAAGAGGAGAAAGCTTTGTTTTCACTTGCATCCTTGCTAAAGTCTTTACAAGTCCCTAGTGCAGAGTATGTTGATGGGTAAGACTACTCCGGTGATGAAAGATGTCACAACCATGTTGTTGGAGAATGATAAGTTTCTTAAAGAGGATGATGGTGCCAATCAAAATAATGCTTAGGATGATGGAGCATTCTCAAGGAAGATCCTATGGACGTGGAGGTGGAGGAAATCGAGAAAGGTTGAAATCTAGACCTAAGAGGGATTATGGTGAAGTGCAATGTTTCTATTACGGTGAGTTGAATCATAAACAATATAAATGCCTGAAGTTTAAGGAGGATCTTTCTAATATGAAAACATTGATGAAAAGTCAAGAAACCAAGGGCAAGGGAGAGGCTAATATTGTTGAAGAAAATGTAGTTGAAGTATTAGCTTATAAGGAGTGTCTGACCATGAGGTGGAGCAAAACAATCAAAGGTGGATTTTGGACTATGTTGCAACCATGCATGTGTGCAATAATCCTTTTGAATTTGTGAGTTTGATTTGGGGGTAGCTTGGCAAAATAACGGTGGTTACCGACGAGAAAGTGAATATTGAAGGCATAGGAGATGTTTATCTCAATGTTCACAATGGAAGAGCCAAGATTCTCAAGAATGTGAGATATGTGCCCAAGTGTTCAAGCAATATTATTGCTTTGAGTGAGTTGACAACATGAGGGTACAAGTATGTTGGAAAGCAAGAATGGTGCAAGGTCAACAAAGGTGGAAGATTTGTTTTGCAAGGAATTAAGAATAGGCACAACATCTATGTGCTTGAACAACATCCCAAGAGAGGGCTTAACAAGACCATGAGGAAAATGGTGTGCAAGCCTAAAGGGATCTTGGTAGATGGTAAGGAAATTAATAAGACCAAGATGAAGGTGAGTTTCAACAATGGAGTGGTGTTTGATGATGGTTTGAGGAGGTGTGATTTTCCCTCGAATCATATTTTAGTTCAAAATTAATTTCTACAGTATGCCTAGTATAGGGTTGTCCTGTCCTATATTAGGAGAAAACCTTCAAAAATAGGACACCATGATTAAGTGTTCTTGAGCAGGGTGTGATAAATTATGGTAATGTTGAAAGTGTATGGAGTCATGGTTGGTTTCTGCTCCCATGGGGTTAGAGGGGGAGATTGTTGGTAAAAAAGTCCAACCCCATGTGAAGACATAGACTTTCCATGTGGAAGTTTGCTTCACCAACCTATAAGCCAATTATGGGCTAGAATTGCTTTGTTGAAGTCATTCAAAATTGCATGTTGACCCATTTAACGAGCAAAGAAAATCTTGGACGGGTGGTAATGAGACAAAGAAAAATGGGGCATGGGTGGTTGGATTTTTCACTATAAATACCCATGCATGCAAAGGAAACAAGAAAGCAAGAGAAGAGCTAAGTGAGTGGTGCCCTTGTGAGAAAAAAGAAAGAGAGAAATTGTGAGAAAATCCTTGTGTAGATTAAGGGAGAGTATTAGGGAGAATTTGAGAGCTTCTATACATTGAAACTAGGGTGTTGAGAGCTTCTTGAGTGAGAGGGCTTCTAAATTATTATACTCTTTTTTCTTAATAGTAGATTTATTTCTCTCTTTCTAGTGGACGTAGACTTGTTAAAAGGTGTACAAGTCAAACCACATTAAATTATTATTTCAATTTGTTTATCGTTTCCGTTTGTGTGGAATTGTGATGCTCAAAATTCCCAACAATATGGAGGATGGAAAAAAGGGAAAAAAAAAAAAAAAGAAGAAATTCTAGTGAGGTAAAGTCACTATTTAAAAAAGCCAACCATGTGAGATGAAGGAGGCGTTTAGATTAATAGTTAAAATGCAAGAGATAATGGATCTAATGGTTAATAAATTATTTTTATTTATAATTTAAATATTTTTATTTATTCAA